GGGCAAGGCCCTCGGGGCTGCTCTTCTCAGCCCCAACTCGAAGGACGGTCCGCGGGGGGGCTCCCTGCAGCGTTTGTCTGCTGGCTTGCGGTGAGCAGGCTGCGTTTGCCCTGGAGAAGGTCTTAGAGCCCGTGGGACCCCACGCGATACCTGCAGTCGGACCTCCCTGCCCGTGCGCACGCCCGGGACTTTCTCACCTCCAGTGTGAAAGCCGGCCTTTTGCGCCCACCACACTAGTCCCCTTACAGCCCTAGTCTGGGCGGAGCTCCTATATAGGTTCAGGTGCCTGTCCCTGTGTCAGCAGCCGGGAAAAGGCTAATGCCAGGATAGCCAGAGTGTGGGCAGGGAGCAGCGTGGAGGGTGGCACGGAGGGAGGGGAATTGGTCCTTCGGTGGTGCTGCTGCTGCTGCTGCTGCTGCTGCTAGGTGAGGTGCGCTGTGTTTGGGATGGCCCCAATTCATGGACAACCATGAGAAAGAGCAGCCCAAACAGCCCTGGGATGAGCACCTTCACTTCCAAAGCACAAAGCTGACTTTGAGGCTGTAAAGAATGACAGGAATCCCTTAGTTTGAGAATTCTAAATTGTGTAGTTAATACTGGGTTTGGAATTATTAGTGTAGGACCTCAGCATGCAAGAAAACCGTTTGCTTGCTTTATTTTTGCTCTCCTGGGGACTGCCTTATTTCTTTCACTTCCACACTGACCTCATCAATTAGAAAATATCAAGGAGATTCCTGAGATCTGGACAGGCTACAATAACTTTTTTTTTTTTTTTTTGAGTTTGGTTTCATCATGTAGTTCAGGCTGTCCTTGAACTCACTGTGTAGCCAAGATTGACCTTCAACTCATGGCAATCTTCCTCCTGCCTCAGTTTCCCAAGTGTTAGGATTACTGGATCGCACCACCACACCCGGCACAATAACTTTTGAACATTTTAGTTTGTTCTTTCACGGATTTTTTAGCACCCTTTATCTTAGCTGCTCTTGAATTCTAGATCTCAAATGTGTCGTTCTTGCTGCAACTATGATTTCATTAAGCATGATAACCTAATTTTTTTTTTTTTTTTTTTTTTTTTTTTTTCTTTTTTTTGGTACCAGGGATCGAACTCAGGCCCTTGTGCTTGCAAGGCAAGCGGCAGAACTACTGAGCTAAATCCCTGGCCATAACCTAAATTTTTTAATTCCATTTTCTCCCCAAAACAAACCTCCCTGAAGGAATATTTCAGTTATAAACCTATATCTTTCCTTTTCCTTCAATAATATTAAATTTATTCAATTATATAAATTTATCATTTCAACATACATTTTCTGGAGCACTAACAGCTTTTGGCAATAATGAATGGTTAATATAGAAAGCTATATTTATCCAGACAGAAAAGCATCCTGCAGTGTATGTCAAGAAGAACTTTGCCCTATGCGTTTCCTAAAAAGCATTCTCCAGTATCTGCACCATGGAAAACAAAGCCTTGGGTTTAAGCTGCCTTGGGCCCTGGCTGTAGCTGGTTCTCTGTTTGCGTGCCCAGCTCGAGTAGCTGCATTCTAGTGATGGTGGTTGTGCTTTCTGTTCTTAGCACCAAGAAGGAGTGGGGGCTGAGGGAGACATGGAGGGCACGGCTGAAGACCCTGGGCCTGGGGGCTGGCATTGCACTGGCCTCCATCCTAATCTGGAGCAGCCTGGGGGCCGATGATGGTATTGCGGAGGTCCTGGCCCGCCATGGTGAGGTGCTAGAGGGCAGGTTCATTGAAGTGCCCTGCTCTGAGGACTATGATGGCCACCGAAGATTCGAAGGTACAGTATCATGGATTGCGTGGGGGTTGGGGAAGGAGAAAGGTTGAGATGAAATTTGATACTGTCCTTTGCAGCAAGGAATGGGTGGGAGTCAGGTTGGAACTGGTATGTGTGGGCAGCAGCTGTTTCCTCCCCCAGGAAGGCCAGCCCACACCGGGCATGGGCATGCAGCCACGGGGCCACCAGGTGTGGTCGGTCAGTGGTTTAAAGTGGCGATGTCCAAACAGGAAAGGTAAGAGGAGAAAGTCGGAGCCTAATTGTAGAGAATGTCACAGAAAACATGGCTACTTAAATGTCCCTGGTGGAGGGCCCTCCCCATCATTTGTCCTGGGCCCAGGTGACAGCTCTGTGCTCAGTGATGGCACTGGTTGAGGGTGGGAGGAAGGAGCCGCAGTGCCAGGGCCATCAGGCTGATGGCATCCTGGAGTGTGCACCCCATGGTGGCTGCCTGTGGGCCTGCTCTGGTTGCCGTGTTCTTGAGCATTCTGCACCTCCTGGCTGCGCTCTCCATTTGTAAGGCCCAGCATGTGCCACTGTGTTTTTAGGGCAGAATTCATTTATTCAAAGTGATGCTTTGGGTTTGAACCAAGAAAAGGTTGCCAGGTTCTTCCAACAAGGGGCGTTGCTGTGACCTGCAGATCTCAGAGCTCTGCACAGTGAGGAGGAAAGCTGCTGGGCAGGCTCCGGGGAGGGAAGGGCTCGGTGAAACAGCTGTGCCTCTGTTGTGTGGCACTTGGTGTCTCCAGGCCTCACCCTGTAATGCCAGGCTGTCTGTCTCTCTGTGTATGCATATATAATTATAAGATGATCTCTCTGTATTGCCCAGGTTGGCCTACAAACTCTTAAGTTCAAGCAATTCTCCTGCCTCAATCTTCCAACACAACTGCAGACAAAAATTCTCTTCCCGCCCAACTAATAATTTATAACATTAGAAATGTTGTGTAGTGGGGCAGGATTTCACTTGGAAAGATGGGAAGTCCTGGGGAAGGACAGTTGTGGTGACTGCACAGCACTGCATGTACTTGAGGCCTCCAAACCATGCACTGAGAAATGGCCAGGATGGTATATTTTGTTACATATATTTCATAGTAGAAAGTTAGGGTGTACTTAAAGCCTGTACCCTGTTCCCTCCTCCCATCCCCTGGATGAGTGGTGTGAGGGTGGACTGTGTCGCTGCTTTCCTATAAAATAGGCCCCTAGTTTGGGTAGGTGGCTTTTCAAGGAAGCCACCCTGTCCAGGAAGGAGGCCGGCACCTGACTGACTAACACCTGGGAGTGTGTGGTTGTAGATTTCTCCTGTGCACATGACGCCTGCTCATCACATTTTCCATGTTGTGGTCTGACACCTGTATAGACAGAAGTACCTGATCACTGTTGCAGTCTTTGCTTTGCCACAGCTCTGCTGTCTTGTCTGTCTGTCTGCCTGTTTTATTGTGGTGCTGGTAATTGAACCCAGGGCCTTTGCATTGTATCCTCAGCCCTTTTTTATTTTTTAATTTTGAAACAAGTTCTTAAATTGTCCAGTCTGAGCTTGATCCTCCTGTCTCAGCCTGTCAGAGGGCTGGGATTACAGTTGCGCACACCAGGCCTTACAGAAAAGATACCTAGCTTTTTTTTTTTTTTTTTTGTAATGGAGATCAATCTCAGGACATTGCGCTCCTGAGGCAGGTGCGGTGCCACTGAGCTAAATCCCTGGCCCTGGCCTTTTGTTTTTGAAGTAAAGCACCTCTGTTGGTAGTGTTATTTAGCTCTGTGTGACTGTGGCCTGTAACTTCTCCTGATGAGTCAGCCAAGAAGAACCTTGAAGGCAGAGAAGGGAGCTGCAGGCCAGCCCGGCACCCTGTGACCCCACAGTCTGAGCCCTAGTGCATGCATTCAGCACTGCGTTTGGCTTTTATACGGATGTCCTGGGGGAGCGGCTCCACCCTCTATCTCCAAGTTTATTTCCAGGCTGGAATCAGGGAAGGGGTGGAGGGTGAGAGGCAAGCAGAAGTTCAGATGACCTAGTGTGTCCTAGAGTTCACCAGTTTTCACTTCCCCCCAGGCGGAGTGAGTCCCAGGGCCACCTGGGTTGGTGGGGCTGGTCTGCCCTTTGTACTCAGACTGCGAGAACTGGTCACTTGCTGGGCTCGCTTGTGGTGTTATTCTTTGTCTTGGCTCCTTTCTGTTGTAGCCCTGCC